CCCCCAAGTCCCTCTCGGCAGGGCTGCTCTCGATCCTTTCTTCCCCCAGCCTGTATTGATACCGGGGGTTACCCCGACCCAAGGTGCAGGACCTTGCACTTGGCCTTGTTGAACGACTACATCAGCCAATTCCCTCAGGACTCTGGGATACATCTCATCAGGTCCCATGGACTTATGTGCGTTCAGGTTCCTCAGGTGGTCACGAACCTGATCTTCTCCTACAGCAGGAGGGGTTTTGCCCTCCCGGTCCCCCTCATGCCATCCATCAACTTGGGAGAGGTGAGGAGAAAGGTTGCCAGTGAAGACTGAGGCAAAAAAGTTGTTGAGTACCTCAGCCTTCTCCTCATCTGCTGTTACCAGCTTGCCAGTCTCACTCATCAGCGGGGGTACACTTTCTTTAACCATCCTTTTCCGGCTGATATACCTGTAGAAACGCTTCTTACTATTCTTTGCATCCCTAGCCAAGTTTAGCTCCAGCTGCGCCTTGGCCTTCCTGACCCCATTCCTACACAACCAGGCAGCATCCCTATACTCTTCCCAGGATGCCTGTCCCTGTTTCCACTGCCTGTGCAGTTCCCTCTTCCTCCTTAGTTTGACCAGCATCTCTTATCTCAGCCATGCCGGTCTCTTCCCTTCTTTGCCTGATTTCTTACACCTAGGGATCCAGAGCTCTTGCACTCTGTGAATCACATCCATGTATATTTAGCAGCCAGTGATGTTATGCCAGTATCCCTATGCCCAGGACACTCCCATTTCTATCTTTTTGGTCCCAGCTTGAATTAAAGCTTGAATTTGTTTTAAAATAACAAGATGCTGTTGGCTCACGACTGCCTCACCAGAATAGGCAATTCTGAAGATAACGGCGAGGATCCTGCACGCAGCAATTCAGACAACACCAAGTCTGTAAAGGGCAAGCTAGGAGGTGGTGTGAACACATCGCTTTCCCTCTGGTTTGTGAAACAAATCTAAAAAGCTCTGCTCAAGGAGAATTCTCCCCTGAACTCACAGAAATATAACAGATTATCATGTTTTTCTATTATACTTTCATGTTTGTTTTTTTTTCCACAACCACCCTCGAAAATTTTACCAGTCCAGATCTTATAGGATTAGGGTCCCAGCAAGAAGTCATTAATATATTTTAATTTTAATGAACCAGTCTAGCGTGCTTATAGGGAAACCAGCTGGTTTTGTTTTCTCTCTATAGACCTGAACAATTTCATGAATAAAGATTTACAAAGAGTTTTAGAACTCGAAACTAGAAATATATAAATCTCTCAAATTTCTTGATCTAATAATATATTTAAAAAATGAGATTTTTGCAAGAATAATGCATGATATTACCGCCTTCGTTTCCAGCCTCAGTGATGCTGTGATTCTGTGACTTTATGCTACTGTAAGCACCTACAATTAAGTCTAGATCCAATGTTTCCAAGAAAGGCACAATCCTAGTAAAATCCCTGCTGGTTTGGGTATGGTATTTTGCGTTTTAATGAAAAATTGTACTCATTGAGTATGTTAATTTACTTGATTGTTGCAAAGAATGTTGTTATTCTGTAGCAAGAGGAACCTTTTCCTTTATAGGAAGCCATAGCAACAAGAAGGATTGACTCCTAAATTCACAAGAAAAAGATCCTGGTTTTTTAGAGTAGCCAGAAAAATAACTTTTGCCATCATTGTACAATGCATTTGAAGCAAAGGTGATATTTATACATGAGAAGCAGGTTGTAATTTCTCAGAACATAAAGATTTGGAGGAAATTAAAGACCACTAAATCAAATTATTATAAGACTCATAAAATTGTCATCAAAACACAAAACTGAGGAATTCTTGATAATTCTCTGGTTTTTCTGAATCACTTGTTTTAACACCATTTCCTTTTCTCCAGCTAAAATCAGATTTGCTCTATGCAGGACTAAAATCTTTCATAGATGGAAAAATTTTGTCATATTGCATTTCCCTTTTTCCTTGCTTGAAGCACAAGCAGCGCTCCCTGGCTGGGGACATCCCCCAACAGCCACACAGTGCTGCCCCGCAATTGCTCTACCCCGGCAGTGTCTTCCCCATGCAATGAGATATCAGGCAGGACCTTCACTGTGCCTCTCTCCTAAGAAAGCAGAACTGGTGTCTTAAGCAAATTGATTCAAAACCCACAAATACATTACTGTGGCTATGGCACAGTTTCCCAATCCATGCTAATGTGACAAAGCCTGTCTTTTTTTTTTTTTTTTAAATTAGGTATTGCTGAAATCAATTTAGTTCATCAGTCTTCACTGTGCAATCATTATTTCTCTAGATTTCTGTAATTTTGCTTTACATCAGTGAAATACACTGGGAAAAATCCTTGTTTGCACCACAGTCAGTTAAGCAGAAACCTTAGGCTGAAGCACAACGCAAACCCCACAATAATCCTCTACCATCGTTTATGTCCTTCACTGACTTTGAGTCAGCCTTGCTGGAAGCAGTCAGCTCCTGCTACCCTGCAGCCCAGCACCCGAGCACCACGGCAGGGTGTACAAACCACACATCCCCTGGGATGCTCCTGGCCAGAGCAGGATGGAGAGCACCCTCATCTCCGCCTGTTCTTTCCCACTGCCCCAGCTGCCATAGTGGGAACCTGTGAGGGACGTCTGGGGACTGACCAACAGCCCACAGCTCTCCCTCTCTCCATTGCTGCTTCATAAACTGCTTCTATATAGGAGTAGGAAATCTTGATACCAGCCTTTAAACCCTTTTCATGTTAAAGACTGCTCAAGATGTCACCAACCTTCATGGATTTTAAATTTCAAATAAAATCATAAAGTTGGAGTAATGCAGTTGAAATTCCATTTTACATTAAAAATGTGATTTGAATTTATCAGTGACAATGTATTTGTCAAGATGCCAAATAAAAATTAAGATTGGAAACAGTCATCTGTATTAGCAGAATTCTTAGCATCAGTAATTTGGCAAAGAAACTTCATAACTTTTTGTTTGGGAAAATATTTGTCTGTTATTTCACTTAGAATCATTTTTGCATCATATTAACTTGAAAAGTAATTGCAGGGGAAAAAATGCAGAATTGGGTGCGAGCAGAGAGTGTGCTCGGCTGTTACCCGCACATCCATTGTTGTCAACTCGCTCACGTTTTTTTCATTAGTTTCTTGTTATAGTCAAGATATGGTCAATGATCTTCCAAGCTTGGTAATTTTGTCAAATCTTTTTTAAGAGCATTGAATCACTACAGTGAGATGGTAGCTTGCTTCTGTGCAAGATTGATCAGGACTGGTATTTCATTTTGCATAGCGCTATTCAAAGCTAATAAAAAGGCACCGAATAATGAATTTTAAAGTAAAATTATAATGAAAAGCCAAAGGTGATTTTTTCATTAGACTGAATGCTGGAGAACTGTGCTCTTCTCTTAACTTTTTCTGTTGTTTGTGTTGGTTGCCCCAGGTGAAGTAAACATCTTCAAAATGTGCTTGATGGTTTTGATAAATGTTTTCTTCTGGAAAGACTTGAATAATTAAGAAGATGTGCACTTTTAAAAGTTCAGTAAAGCACAAAACTATCACTTAAAAACATTCTTTGTTCAAAATTGTTACCTTGACATACTCATCATAAGAAATTACCTTCAACGAAGTGAGCAAAAATGCCTTTTTCTAGGCAGGTTTCGGTAATTCTCAGGAGGAATGGTTTTGAGCTTGAGAACTCCAAGGGTGGCTTTGCGAAGGTGGCAGGCAAAAACACTTGCATATTTGGGAGTGTGATGGTCCCGATGTTGTATACTGGTGGCACATGAATGGCATAGCTGGGAAAAGAAAGACACTGTTCGTAGCCACAGAAGTCTGGTCGACTGCATGTTTGTCACAGGCCTGTGATAGCCAGCCCAATCTTTAAATAAAATTGTCGTGTCTGTTGCATGACTGTTTTCTGTCTCATTCTGTATTTGTCTTCCATGTGTGATTAACTCCCAAATGTTCTCTTTTTTTTTTTCCTTTTCCCTTTTTGTAGAACTTATTGAGCCTACTACCTCTAGTCCTGTCTCAAGCCCAGGTCAGTATCCACATACATTCACGAAGTATGTTTGGGTACTTTTTCTCAGGGACTCATAACCGATGCATCGCCACATCAATAACTGGAATTGATAACGGGCAGCTTTGTTGTGGTAGTGCTGGACTGTCTCCTTCCCGTCTTTGTGCACTCATTGGTTTGTCTTCCCTCCAGGCTTCATATATTGTCCTTTTCTTAAATTTCCCCTTTTGAGAAAACCCCTCCCCACATCTCTGTTTTTCTGCCATTCATTCTCTGCCCCAGGGTGATGCAGTGGATGTGCACAGGGCAATGCAGCTGCACGGTGTAATTACTGTGTTTTTTCTTTGTGATGACCTGACTCTTCTCTTGTGTCGCTGTAAACATGAACGTTGGTTCAAGGCTTACAAATTTCTTGCTGTCTCATCACTGAATGACCTGTAGGATGGATCTAAGACCCCTTTGTGAGGTCCTCCTAGTTTTAGGGTGCCAGAAGCTGTTCCTGGAGAGCTGAAAAGCCTGCCCTTGTGCTTGGCAGGCGGTAAGAGGTCCTGACCATTCGTGGTGATTCTCCATTTTCTCGGGTGTTTCCCATTGCTGTTCCCCAGCAGGACACCCTCAGTAGAGCTGGTCAGCCCGGTGCAGGCTATTGAACAGGGACTGCCCTGCCCAGAGCTTGTTAAAAGATGGCCTTGGGGCAGCCTGTATCAGTATTCCCAACCACTCTCCAAAGGGTTTGGAAGGGGTAAGTCATGACTCTCATGTATCTTGCTCTAGCTGCCATTGCTTTACATTAAACACCTTCCCCGAGATGCATTTACAGTGTCAGACCCAACAGGTTGATATTATTTCCATGTGCATAATATGGTAAGATGTGCAATGCTCAGATCTCCTCCAAGGAGGAGTCTCGGAAGTGTTATCAGGATCATCTGGGTGACAAACACAACTAAAATTTTCCTCTAGCAAAACCTACACGTGAAGTATACTTTTATTTTCAAATTAACATAAAAAGATTAGAAAGGCTACACCAGAGAGCCATAGCAATTGACGTAATCTACTCCCCAGTTAAAAGTACAGATTAAACAGGGAGTTACAAAAGAAAAACTAGGCAGCAGACTGATCCACCCACCTTAAAACTTACAGGAGTAGAAAGACAAGTGTATAAATCTTCTGTGCTTTTAATTAAAGGGCTTAGGAAGGGCAGTCTCTGGTGTCCTCTGCGGAGATGCTTGCTGTGCAGAGGCGCTGCCTGTCTGCCTTCCCGTGTGCCCTTCTTCACCACCAGATTTTCGAAAGCACTCTATCTCTTTTATGTGCAGAGGATCTACTATGTCTGCAGTTGCAAAGCCAGTCACGAAAGGGACTGAGCAATCTCTGCGTGACCACCGTTCATCACAAAACACAGCAACAGAAGGAGTGGGAGGGGAGGGGTGGACGTAACCTGCAAAAAGCTGATAGTGTTTGTAATAAAAGTTCCCATCGTTGTGATTTTTCACAGTTGCTTTGGACTACCAAGCAGCTGAAAATAAGCTAAGAAATTATTTTTATAGCTAACAGAAGCCAGGAAGAAGAAAAGAGTCGCGGATGATATGGCAATCGTGCAAAGTAACGATAGGAGAACCTCGGTCTATGTGTTGTTTAACGCTGTTTTTTGTAATTGGTTGAAAAGCCCCCTTAGCCTGGTGCTATTCTGAGCTCTGTTCAAGGAATGATGGTTTATGCTGTATGGTTATGGTTGGAATAGACTCTAGTAACATTTTGTGGTTTAATCTCCGTAGGTAAGCACTATAACAGAGAAACACAGTCTTTTCTCACTTTAAAAAAATTGGTGTTCAAGTAATATAGCCTCTAGATGTGTTTGAATTCTTGCTGCCTGCAGAAATTTACTACAAATGAGCAAATTTATATGTATTTTGGGGAGCAGGATGGAGATGGGGAAATGGAAATGAATAGCATCCTTTTATAACTATCCCTGCTTTAATTCTGAGAGCACAGCATTAAATAGAGAGGTCTTTTTCCAAAGTACAGTATAAAATTGAGAATATGAAAGCCTTTGAACACAACAGAGGGAAAATTTAGAAGAAGCTAAAGTTGCAATAGATATGAAGTTACATGAGCCAATCCAACTTTAAATGACTGAGGAAAGGACTCAGGTCAGTTTGCAGATGAAAAACAACATCTGTTCCCCTGAAAGACAACAGGAAGGGGTTTTTCTTAAAAGAAAATCTCTCAAAATGGATCAAAATTTAGGACTGAGTCCTTCCTCCTGGAAATCAGCACTGATGTCAGCAGTGGCATTGCCATGTAATGTTCTGTTTGCCTTACGTAATTAAATAATGCTGTGATAGTCCCTCTACTTTTCTAATTTTAGTCTGGTAAATAGCTAGATAATACCATCACTATTGCTACGAAGTTATACAGCTGCAGAGGCAATTAAAAAGTTTCCAGAGTGCCAGAAAGTGAGTCCCTCAAGTGCTGCAGTATCAGCAGAGAAGACAGTAGCTTGGGCTGGGAGATCATGAGAGAAAACTTGGGTTATTTGTCCGTAGCTGCTTATGACAGTAAAATAATATACGTGACTTTGTTTAAAGTCAGCCCAGGAGGTTTTAGCCAGCAGCACCTGTTGGATCTCTGCCTGCCTGCCTGCCCTGCTTTCCCTCATGCGGTGGCAGGAATACAAAATGTGGATAAACCTGTAGAAACTCCTTTTTCCTCATGTCTTGCATCAGTCAGAATAGAGAGCATCAGCCTACTTCTTACTTAATCTAGGCTTTGCAGCTAGCTGGTTAATTACTGCTGTCATTTACAACTTCTCTTCATTGCAACTTCAGAGGATGCTTTTCCTGGAGAAGGTGTTGCTGCTGGAAGGAGACAGATCCTCCTCCAGTGTTTCAATAATGAGACAAAGGTTATGAAAGAAACCCCCAAACTGAGTCAATATTTAACTGCAGATAGATGAGGGAGAATTGCAGGCCAAGGATCTCCCATAAACCAAGGTAAATGACTGATGTTCAACATTATCATCACTGATAGAGTTTTCCAGGATCTTTCTTAAAGCCCAAACTGGGAAGTTACTTTTTGTAGAAAGTAAAGAATCTGTAGTAACTCTGAAGATCTTGAAACCACCTTCTGTTGAGCTTTTAGTCCAACTCTGCATACACTGTAATTACCCTATTCTCAAAACATTTTTGAAAATATTTTTCATTGCTATTAGTGTGCAAATATATTTTGGTATCTGGAAGGAGTAGCATAAAAGAAAAAATGTCGCTGGCATGTTAAGATGCTTAAACCTGGAGATGCTACTGCCTCTGGCTCCTACAGGTCACTTTTGTGCAAACTCTATCAGCATTGAAATTGGTACATACGAAAGACCATTCATCTCACCAATTTTCCTTCTCATACTCAGTATAATTACTCTAATCAACTGTTTTGACCTTCTTTTGTTAAAAATTGTTTATAAGATGCATGTGTAAAATTTCAGCTCAGAAATTTTGTGACATTTTCTAGATGTTCATAAGCCATGTGACAACATCCCCAAAATGTCTTTCAATGATTACCTATAAGAAACATTTTTCTTTAAAAAAAAAAGTCCTTAAGGATTCCTTACAGTTCCAAACGATAGGTGGCAAACCATTTAAAACATTTACAACTAATGCAAAACCAACACTGTGTTTGAGAGCCATAGTGATATGTGTGTGCATTCCTCTGCTGGAAACCCTTTTTACATTTGGGAGTTTACTTTCTCAATTTTAAGTGACAACACTTAAAGCATGTAGAATTAGCTGCAAAAGTTAAAGAACTGGGGCCACAGTTGGTGTCTATTTTGTCAGCCATTGCCAGGAGCTGTAGTTACTTACAAATCTTTCATCCTTTAGTGTAATTAGTTCACAGGTGGTGTCTTAAAAAGCCTTTGAAGATGCTGCTGAATTCTTAATGCTGACTAAATAAGTAACAGTGACAGGTCAGAGAGAATAACTGAGGAATTTAATTAATGATTTCACATGTTATAAGGCACTTTTATAAAAATTGGGGTTGGAGAGAGAAGGACTTTAACTTATTTAATTTTCTCAGGAACAAAAGCGTATGTTTAAATGAGCACTCTGGGCAGGTTGGACAACTCCTTGAACTTCAGTTACTTCTCCCTAATGTGCTTTACTGCATATCTAGTACGTTTTAATAGGCTAGAATACCAAATAATACTTAGTCTTAAGCAGACTCTATTTTTCTCATCTGAAACTTGTCAACCCCTTATTTTTTCTTTTCTTATGCATTGGAATTCCCATTTTAATCAATAAATTATCTGCATAAGGAAAATCTATAGTTTTGGACTATAAATCTCGGAATCTATGGCATTTTTTCTTGCCATTAATTTTGTCTTTACATGATGAAAGCACCATGTACCTTAAACTAAGGATTTTTCCATGTACAGCAAATACTGGAGTGGAGATGAACCCTGAGGCACAAGAGAATGATCAACCTGGAGAAACAGCTGGTCGTTCATCTTCATCAGCCAACACTCAAAATAGTTTCTTTATCTTCCCGGTTTGTGGAATTTCTTCCAAAAACTAAACAAGTATGAAAAGATGATCAAGATCTAGGATAACAGATCCTGAATCATTGCAAGTTTAACTTCTAAAATACATTAGAAACAGATGTCTGTTTGTTCAAAGAGCTTTTGACTCTCAGTGACCACTTCGCTGCCTCCCAAATAATTCCACCCTGGGAAAGAATGCAGGGTCTCCCACACTGCCCTCCATCTCCTTCATTTGATGGTTGAATCACCCTCCATCACCCAGTGGAAGAACACTATTGGTACTTTTGTCCCAGTTGACAGACATAAAAGCATACATAAGGTTACTAAGACTTGCTATGAGTAAGTAAGCATCAAACAGGTAAACAATCTCTAAAGAAAAAAAGATCAATTTATCAATCTTATTTGTTAATTATTTTAAAGCTTTGTATTCATAATTTATTGTGGACATTTCTGTTGCCTTTCAGAACTCCAGGCAGGTGTGAAATTCCAG